ACTTTCCTCTGTCTGTTTTACCCTGACCAAAGCTCGACAGCATTTTGAAACTGATATCTTGCGCACCATCTACTTCTCTCTGTTCCAATCTCAGATAACATATTGCATCGAATGTTGGGAATTCACCTATCACGCATACATCAAGCACATAATATGCCTACAAAAGAGAGGCTTGAGAATAATAAACCATGTTCCCCCTCGTACACCCTCTCAGCCTCTATTTTCCAAAACCGCGATAATGCCCGTGCTTACGCTACGAGATTATCGTATAACTCTCTTGGTATATAAAATAATTTGTAACAACTTCTCCTTTCCTAGAACTATTTTCCAAACACCAGGTAAAAGTAGTCGCTCTGCCTCCGAAGGCAAATTTTTAATCCCTCTCTCTCATAACACATACGGACAACGCCGTCTCAAGTACGCCAGGGTTAAAGTTTGGAATGATCTCCCGTCATCCGTTTTACAATCAACCAGGGTAGATCAGGCGTTAAAAGACTTTTTCTTGCATCACACAACATCCAGCTTATCGAAGAACAAAAAGTAGGAAAATAACATCAACTTATAATACCTTGTACATGTTTTTCCTACTGCTGCTGTTTTGGGGACGACGATAAAAATTTGCAGCCTGTATTACTGACGATGTACTGCAGTCCTGACGTGTGGTCTTCTGTATGCGTGTTATTGCAATGAGAACTATACACAGCTGTCTTATTCATAGTTTTTGTATAAACCGAGCGTTTGTTTTTAGCACTGTAATTTATCTTGAATGTATCTTTCCTATTCATACACCTGCTTTTTATGGACAATTTTTTGAACACCTGTATATACTACATTTCCCCCCAAACATGTGATTGTACATACATAGCCCCTGATTCATTTGTATTATGTTTTTAATGGATCCATTACTAGCCAATAGGCTAAGGATCCAGACATTCATGCATGTATTTGGAAAAAAAAATTTGGCGTGAACCAAATTTAGCAGGGGAGGGTAAGATGGTTTGACGAATATGACACACTGGTCAAGACATGAATAATGTGACCATCCCGTCACGTACGTCGTCAAACACTTCCTGCCAGACAGTGGCACGTACCTACGGGCGGATATGTGCCGCTGGTATGCGGGTATGTGCCACAGGTGATTGACGCTTAGTATCTACTTAAGAGCGACGAAAACACGCATGGGCATATTTAACCTGCGAGCGTTAAGAAATACCCAACATCGGTAGCGTCGACCCGACAAACGCAAACCATAAATGTCAGGGTCCCAGCTGGAATGGAACCCAAGCATTCTGCGTGGCAATGAAACATTTTACCACAGAGCTATGCCAGGTCTAGGAACTACTTTTCGAATAGACGCTAATCTTCGTGAAACATCAATGGTGGTTGGAGTGCTGCCTACCCATATATAACATAAACATTACATATGTAACATTATAAACATTACATATGTACTCCTTTGATACAGCTATTACCTTGGGTTAACGTCCATTGTGTTTAGTTGCCATGCGCTGAAGTTTATTTATGTGGCAGTGTACAAGGCCAGCACCCTCGCGAGCATCGGCGCTTCATATCAGCTTCTGGTATTCCTATACGCGTGTTCCAGTTGGCATGGTTGCGCAAGTGCAAACAGCTGATTATATGAACGCCTGCAACTCTACAACATGTGTCTGTGCGTGCAACATTTGTACATATGTTTACCATCATTTCATGACGTGTGACTCAATAAAAAATTGCAACATGGTCACTTTCCCTCCGCATACATGCTTCGCCGTATAACGTCGATTCCCAGGTACATGGGGTCTGCCGAATTTTAACCTCTCCTGTCAATGCTGTCTGTGACGCCTCAAGTTAAATTATTACTGGTCATTCGCCTGAGCGGCCCTTGGTTCCTCGGACGCCCGCACAAACATTTCCGAATTCCACCTCATTTCACACGCACACGCGTTTAGCACACGAATTTCGTACATTCATTACTCTCAGAATCATATGGTGGTTTTGAGACGTTAAACCCCACATATCATTCAATCGCGAAGAGGGCCACTAGACCATCTTCAATCACTGGAGACAGGACTGCTGCATCAGCTGAATGAAATGCGCATGCACAAGATTAGCTGCTTTCTCTTGGTGAATGATGATTTTATCGAGTCGACACTATACGCTTAGCCTTCGTGGTGACGTGAACTGCGCAGCCAAGCCATAAGTGTCCACCCACTGTTACAAAAACGAAATCTGTTGCGGTTTCCTGGTCATTTGGCAGCAGCGGTAGCGGTGTAGAGACGGACAGCTAACTGGATATTCAACTTTTTGCAGGTCTGTTGCGCCTTTCACTTCTATTATCTTTCTATGTTGTTCGACGTTGCTTGCTGCTGCTGCTGCTGCTGCTGCTGCTGCCGCCGCCGCCGCCACGATTTGTGTACTTGCTGCATTTAACCTTGTAGGAACCTGTTTGTCGTGAACCTGACTGTGGTAAATTTGGTAGCACCATCAAATGCACTGACCAATCAATGGGATATTCGATTGCCCAGCTTATTATCTTATTCGTACTACATTCTCTGGGGTTTCATAGAGCAATTATCGGTTTAAAGGAGATGACTATAAGAAGACATGTCCTTGCTCGTCATGTCGTAAGAGCAAAATCAGGGCAGGGCACAATTGGGTCTCGGGCCTGGTCGACCACCCAACTTTGACCGCTGGCTTCGTGGACCACACCACTGTTCTCTACTAGACTTCATCTATGAAGAATACTTGTATGTGTGTTTTTGAAAATGTTATGCCTAGGGGCAGCCTATATGATGGTGCTATAGCCGAAATATGATGGTGCTATAGCCGAAATGAACAAGAAGCTTGACGAATTACCCCTAACGCAGACCGTGCAGACCATAGAGCAATCGGTTGGTCTTTTGTCGGCCAAATATGACAGGATACATGAGACGATTGAGAAGCATGAAAATGATGTAAAGTTGCTAAAAAAACAGAGTTGTTGTCCGAGAGGCATCGAGCATGAGCGCAGAAATAACGGCTATTCGTGATTCAGTAAATTAACTTGAATGCCATAAAAAAAACTGAATATTAAAGTTCACGGAAATAAGAGCCTGATCGGCAAAATGAACGAAACTGCGTCCAAACTGCTGATAGTCCCCTAGACTGAGCAAACTGTCACCTCGATTCACAGACTTCAGCGGAGAAAGGACAAGCCACCAGGAATAAACGTACGTTTTCCTAACCAGGCAATAAGAAACACATGCATGGCTTCAGAAGAAGAAAACTTTGCCTGAAAGCCACAGAGGGCTTTTCATGACTGAAATTTTTCACTGTGCGAATTGGGATGATTCTAAAAGCTACGAAAGAGTGGGTGCGACTAAACAATTTTCGCTTTGCATGTCACCATGCTGGAAAAGTATTTGTTCGGAAGGGCGAAGGTGAGCGCGCGCACATAAGATCGGCTGCTGATGTGGCTAAGATTGTTTCTTGGGAGTGAAAACGAACATTGCTGTTAACATGGCTACTTTGTCACACCCTAATACATTGTTCTCACGGAACCATCCCAATAAAGTGCGCGCGCAAAGCAGTGGCATTCTAAGCTGCGTGCATATAAATCGCCAATCTGCCAAATATAAAAATGATGAACTTGACGCCCTATTCAGCAGCGTGAACTTTCACGCTGAGTTCGTTGTGCTTTCTGAAACTTTGTACGATGACTGTTCGATACCCTGGTGTCCACCAAACTATCGGTGCTTCACGAAATCCCGAAAAAAAACTCGCGTGGTGGCGGGGTCAGCTTGCTTGTGTGTGATTTTAATGCAAATTTCGTTGAAGAATTTTCCTGTGTTATTGAGGACTACCAGATGCGTTCAGTTTTACATGCGCTTGCAGTTTATTCTGTTGTCTACAGACCTTCACGAGGTCATCTGCAGGACTTTTTTGTAATTTTTGAAAAATCTGTAAAGCAATTTGTTCAATCTAAGTACAAATGGATTCGCAATAGTGATTCCAATCTGAACACGTTTACTGATTGGAATTCAACACGTGATTTCAATGTGTTTTAAATTGTTGCTTCAATGTTGATATTATACCAACAAGAGTTTAGCGTGACACATTGACATGCCTTGACTTGTTCATTACTAATCACGAGAGAACAGTAGGTAATGGTGGCACTATTCCTTATAGCTTAAGTGATCACTTGCCTATTTCCCAGACATTGTTTCTCACACCGTAGTCAATTGGGCCAATATCGATCGTGGCCCTGAAAAGCTTGCGCTTTCTTGTGTTGGGTGAATCGTGTGAATTTATGAATAATAAAAGAAGCAAAAGCCAAGACATTTCATGTTTTTGTCAACAAGTAACGTTTATTTCCTAAACGCAGTGAACATAACAAAAGGGCCACACCACATTTATCCATGCACCATGAGGTGAAGCACCCTGTTTGCGGGGCTCTCCGAAAGCTCTGACCCCGGTCCCACGCACACGAACGAAGCACAGTACACGTACAGAAAGGGGACAAAGACACAACGTCGACGACGACTGCAAGCACGTCCTCAGGCACGCGCACACAAAGTCTAACACAGACACATACGGGATTCTTCATTTTCACCATTGCCAGCCGCCGCCAGCACCGCCGGCGCCACCGCCGTACTTCCCGGCACCGCCGGCGCCGCCCAAGAACCCACCGGCGCCTCCTCTGTAGCCACCGGCACCACCGTAGCCGCCGGCACCTCCATAGCCGCCGGCACCTCCATAGCCACCAGCACCTCCGAATCCCCCAAGTCCGCCTGCACCGCCATATCCACCTCCGTAGCCGGCGCCGGCGCCACCGCCATGGTGACCGCCGTGGTTGACGGTGAAGCTCGTTCCTCTGAGGCCACCGCTGCCGAGTCCGCCACCGAGTCCAGCGCCGCCGAGCCCACCACCAAGTCCAGCACCACCCAGGCCTCCGCCGAAGCCACCACCGCCGTGGTGACCACCGAAGCCGCCGCCACCGTGGTGTCCGCCGAAACCGGCACCGCCTCTACCGAAACCGGCACCACCGAAGCCACCGCCGCCAAATCCACCTCCAATGTTACCGGCGTTCGCCAGGACGGCGAAACACATTGCGGAAACCGCGATCTGCAAGTGAAGCATTGATCAGGAACCTGTTTTCGTCAAACATGCGTACGTGCAAGGGCTTCTATGCAATTTGATGCCTTTATGCATCCTAAGAACTCCTACATTTTGAAGGTGCCCTATAGGCTTTATTGCATCTTACAACTTTTAAAACGTCATACTAGAAATTTTCGTCCATTTAATGTTCTCGTACTTAATAGCGGGCGTAACCACGCATAGTTGACGCGTAACCCCGAATATCACGCTTATACCAAAGTTTGCCCGTTGCCTTTCATTGCCATGGCTTAGCTCATGGAAAGCTCTTGTCGCAAATTTGAACGGGTACGAAATATATCACTTATATTTGCATTTGATAGGGTAGCTTTCAAATTTGCTTGGTCGTCCGCCAACGGGCATGTTAACCTATCTAGGCTGGATGGTAACTATAGCTGGGATCACGATCGTTGTCACTATTCTGAACGAGCTCCATAGCCACCATGTGGACTTGTCACCACCGACAACTCTGTCTAAACATGTACACGCGTTGTGTACTCCCCTCCCGCTTCCCCCCCCCCCCCAAAAAAAGTTATGACGTCTGCCCTTTGTCATTCGCATATTTGTAAAATTCGTTGTATCCGTATTCAACCATGAACTGCCTGTTCAGAATAATTCTGTTGGGCATATTCTAGATTGGACTTGCCAATGTATCTATGGTTGCAGAGGAAAGGCTGTTAGCTACCAATTATACGTAGTGGTTATCCAGAAGCCATATACGTTTGAAGCTGGTTGGTGTAGATCATCTACGGATTTCAGCTACTTTCAAACTCATTACAAGCTTGTTACTGAGAGCCTGGGAGAAAAACGGCCGCCACCATATTAGACAGTGCCTTCTTTGCTATCGAGTAGGTTTCAAGAGTTCCTCATGGCAACTCAAACAGTAAAACGATATTGAGGGCTCTTCGTTAGTATAACTCATAAAAGTATCATTGTATGCATCAGTTCGTACAACTGTTCTGCAGCTTTCCATTAAGAGCATTAGCAACGGCGCTTGCAACTAAGATGTAACTGCTGGTAAAATTTGGCGTGTCTAATACAAGTAGATGTTCATGGTTGAACTGCATGGAATTGTGAGAGTGTTTACATTACACCAGCGGCTGGACAATAAGCTTGTTTGATATAAAAATTACTCTTGAACACACCTTCAGTAGAATTTAGGTTGTTACTGAGCCACATCTTATTGTAGCATCATTTAGCTGTTCTGCGCATCGTTAACTAAACTGAGTAGTCGGCAGCATAGGTTCTCATCATCAGCTAGTTCCTCATTTAGGGCTGCAATTACTAAACAGCAATAGCTGCTTGTGAATTTCGCAACCGAAAGCCTCTTATCAATATAACATTATTATCTCATTTACATAGTTGACTAAGTTGCAGTATTCTGCACTGTAGACTTTATCTATTACATACACTTGTTGCTGAAGACAGCTATTCTTCATACTATGCCACTAGCTGTTTTGTGACGTTCGTAACCGAAAGTTTTTTAAGCTGTAGCACACAAAACTACACTGCGTCGTTGAGTGCGATACAATACTCGTTCGTATGGTTCTATCCATAAGATAATTTTCTTGCTGACGACAGTTACTCTGCATACTATGGGACTATAGCTGCTTGTGACGTTAGTCACCGAAAGTTGTATAGCTATCTATCCCTCCCTCAGCGTTGCATTGTCGCATCGCTGCACTGTCCCCCCGTCCCGCAAAACGGCCGACACGTAGGCAGATCCCCGGGTATGCATCCGATAGTCCTGGGGTTTCACTCCTGGAGGGGACCTGCCATACGAGTCCGCCGAGCTTGTGCGGGACGCCGAGGGTGGCTGCGGCTCACCTTCCACATGGCTTTGTAACGCTGCTGCTGCTTGCCGCCGCTTGAGAGCTTATAACACTGGGTGCTGCTGCTGCGGTGGTGAGACCGCTTGTGTCCAGACCGAGAGCCGGCGGACCCTTTTATACCGGCCGCGCCGATGTGGCCGCGTGTTGGCCGGGCGATGCATGCAAAAAGGCGGGGACGATCCAGATGCAGTGATCACTCTCCTTCTTGTTGTGCGCGCTTTCTTTTCTTTCCCACTCTCACTTCCGGCCGAGCATGCCTTAAACTCTTCCCATCCTCTCTCACCGCAACGGACTCTTCCGCGTAGCGGTATCCCTGCCGGACAACGTCGGCGTCGTCGGCAAGGGCGAAGTCGAGTCAAGAGAGGGTGCTCCGGACTCGTTCATCAAACACGACGCCGCTCAGTGGTCATCGATGCCTTCAAGGCTGCCTTTCGCCCGTCGAAAGTGAGGGAAAAGAAAACGCAATGCCGGTGGTGTGATGCCCGAGCGGACGTTAAGTTGGGGGGGGGGGGGGGGGCTCTTCTCGGCCCCATCAGGAGGGGGGTAGGATCCTCTTACACGCAACCCCTTTCCGCGTCCGCACGCATCACAACTCTCACTCTCCGTAGACGAGGCTGCACGTTCTCTTCCTCCGTCGGCCTTACTACACAGCGCTTACCTTGGGCCGGAGTGAGCGTGCTGTGGTCGGCGGCATTGCGAAACTGTTAATTGTGCACCGCCCGGCTCGGCTTCGGGCCAGTGGAGAAGACGCCGCTCGCCACGACCCGGGCGCTGCAGCGGCGCGCGTGCGTGGAATCCGTGAAAGGCCCGCAGTTTCGGAGGGCCGGGTGTGAAGAGTGCACCCACGTGCATCGCGAAGCCTTTCGCTCCGAGCTTTGTTGCGTTTTGTTTTGCTGCTGTTAGACTCGCTGTTCGGAGGCTCGCCGTGGTTTCGTCGCTCCTTGGAGTTCACGGAATACGTTGGTTGGTTTGAACAACTTATTCAGTTCCAGCCGGACGCGCCCTAGCACGCAGTGGGTGACTTCCACATCGGAATATGCGTTTTTTTTTTTGAATGACTAACTTGATATTTATTCCACCGTATTGACTTCGTGATTACGGGTTCTTGACTGCTGACCCGTAGGTCGCGGGATCGAATCCTGGCTTCGGCGGACGTACTTCAATGGAGGAAAGTGCTAAAGACCCGTGTGTCTGGGATTTAGGTGCACGTTAAGAACTGAAGGGTCGAAATTTTCGGAGCCCTTCACTACGGCGCCCGTTATAATTGTATCGTGGTTCTAGGATTTTATTAAACATTTCATATTTCCCTAAACACCGCTCAGCCTCGCCATGAGGTGCGAATGTAATTGTTTGTCGTAGCACGTGCATGGCGATGTAACCGAAAGAAGCGTTGATTGTGAGCTAATTAAATCGCCCGCGTGTCCGCATGCAGCATAACGCCATCCAAGCTAAGTGCTCGGGTTTCCCCATTATTTCCTTATAGGTGTCGCTTCGTTGTAAAGGTCGCACACCGTAATGGTCTCGCCGACGCGCAGGGATTACTTCGTCTGATGTTAGAGGCGAATCAACCGACCATGCATTGCGTGGAGAACACAAAATGAAAATATTCATTGTGATCGGAATTTGGAACTTGGTGGTCACAGACTTCATTCTAGCAGTGTACATTCTTTTCTAGAAATAAATAAATGAAACCCAGTGCCGATAAGGGCTGATAAAGCATGCAGCACCAAAGAGGTGTAGCTCGAGGTGAGACAATTTTTTTTGTTGGACACTTTCGGGTTGAGGGGTGAAATCATGCAACCACCCTCCCCATCCTATGTCTCAGCAGGGAAGTTTAATAAGTGTATACGCAAGCATATAGAGGCGGCGCAGAAAATTTTGGAGGCCATTGAATCCGAGAAAATTTTAATTTTTTGAGCCATTTAAAACGGTGTTCAGTCGAACTGCCAAGTACATGTTGCGCTGTCGATGATGTGGACGCGCTTTGAAGACGCGCTCGCAGAGGAGAAGGAACACGCACAGCGCAACTTTCAACTTATTTATTAGAAAAAAAACGAGAGCGTCACGTGTATACGTCGAAGCACGTGACACGTGGTCTGCGCATAGCAAATTACTAAGCACCCAGAAACTTTGTCTATTTCCTAAATAATGACAAAGAAGCGTAGTCATTATCTAAGAAAGAGACACTGTACTGATCAAACTTCGGAGTGCGCGAGCACTTCAGGTAATGAGTTGTTAAATAACCTCTGGAACGTTCTTGCCACATTATCATTATTCAAAATTTTGATCAGTGCACCGTCATGTCCAGTGACCATAGTGAATCCCCGAGAGTCGTATTAGAAGCCAAATCGATTTGGGAATGCGCGGAATCACGTGTTATCATCGCTTTGTAGTCATTGCGTAATAAAGAAATACAGCTTTTCAGTGGTCAGTAATATTCTATGCGCGCGCACTGTGTCCCCTGCTTTTGCTTATATGTGACGCTCTCCTCTCTTCCTAATACACAACTTGAAAGTTGTGCTATCGTGTGTGTCCCGTCTCATCTCTGTCCGCGTCTTCAAAGCGCATCCGCATCGTTGACATGCAGTACCAACTAGCCGATTTAAGTGCGCTGACATGTTGTGAGCGCGTTTCAAAACGGGCCTGAAATCTCAAATTTAGGCTTGCATGTCTAAGAAGTGGCAATAATAAGCTAATAATAATAATTACGGCTTACGTGTTACATGATTGAAAGTACGGAACCGTAGAAATGGTTCCGTACTCGGGCCACTTTTTTTTGTTAAGCTTCGCGCTGAGTCCAGCTAGTGGAGATCCTATTCAAGTCACTGCCTGTGTGTCTGAATATGTATGTGCATGTGTATATATGTATGTTCGTGCGTGCGTTCACATGTATGTGTACAGTGACGTAGCTAGGGGATGGCACAATGGGCTTGTGCCCCCCCCCCCTAATTTTTTTGCCATGGCAGAGTGAAAAATGACCATTTTAAGGAGTTCCCCACCCCCTGATATCAAGAAGTGCCCCCCTCCCCCCCAAAAAATTTCCTACGCCCCAGCGTGCGTATGCAACGCGTACATTATTGAAAAAGTTTCGAAGTGGGGTTGAAGCAGCCCAGCCCCCAACTCCTGGCTACACCAGCAATGCATACATAGTATAATGCTCGTCCTTGAGGGCCTGGTGTACCCTGTCTGTTCTAGCGCTCTTCCTCTATAGCATCGTACCCCAGTTAGAGCGGGTTCTTCTAGTGCGCTGGACCTTGGCCCGCCCTTTCAAAGGCACTGCGAGTGTAACTACCGAGATCGTGCCTCGCAACACGTGACCGCTGCTCTCGTTGTGGCGCACGCGACGCTCATTGTTGTGTAGGAGACGTAAGAGCGTGGGCTGTAAAGACGAAGAGGTTACGATGAAACCGAGGCATCCGAGACGGGAGGTTTCGGGAGCAGGAGGCTCGTAAACGCTCGACCGGGCTACGCTCGCCGATTCCGCGCTTCGCACAACGCGTCCGCTTTGTTACTTCTTCGAAGCGCCGCGAAAGGATATGCAGTGCACAACCCTGAGCCCTTGTAAGCCCACGCAGCTGTGTTAAAAAGCCTACAGTGCTGGTGGGAGTGAGGGTTTTCTCGCGTTTCTATTTATCTTGGCAGCAAGACTATATAACCCTAATCTCAGTAAAAGTCAACTCGCCGACATATAGAAGCCCTCCGTTTAGATGTAGGATGTACGATGGCTTCCGATAGCTGTGCTATCTGATTATGTTCCTGCTGTCTGCAGGTTAGGAAGTGAATGCCAGTGAATCCCGGTGTTATTTCAGTTTCTTTTACAACAGAGGTGGCATGGTCGATGTATGCTGTATATGTAAAATTATCACTTTGATCCGGCGACCGCTCAGTCACCGCCCAAGCACTCTGTACAGATGCCTAACAAGAGAAGCTGAGCCGTACCCAGCAATTCTGCTGTGACCCAGTCTTGCACGACTTAGTGCCAGCTGCTCTAATATTTTTTTTTAATTTTTGGAGTGTGTACGACAACGATTCATTCTCAATTTCTTATCTGCTCATATATAGCCCGATAAAGTAAGATACATCGTTCAGCAAATGGGATAAATAGCAGAGGTTATCGCGAAATATTTCACTGACTGTTTGTCGAAGCCATAGAGAAGTCGGAGGAAATTTCATTTCTGCTCGTTAAACGTGGCGTAATTAGAGGATAAAAGAGGTTTTCCTGCCACACGCTGCGTGGAACACACTTCCTACGGTCCCTCTTTAACCTCGAAAGTACGAAACGAACACGAGGCTCGTATTAAAATTATCTACAGGTTACTCACAGTGTGAATGAATATTCAGATTTTAAAGGCCCCATTCTAAGTTTATTTAAAGGCAATAATATGCGGGAGCTGCAGCACGTGTTTTGAACACAAAGACTCAAGTGGCTCATCAGGTGAGTTATGAGTGCAGTGCCACAGCTTCCCTCAATTACTAGCTCCGTCATCCAGTGAAAAAAAAAGGAAAAAAGTTCTGCTGGCACAAACGTAATTGATTTTGGAAAAAAATCAGTCTTATAGACTGAGCCTTCATTTCAGAGCGAGTCTGTAAAGAGTACTAAATTATTTACTTAATGTGCATTCCTTACAGAGGGGTAGGTCAGCGTCACTAACGTCCCTGCCTTGCCTTTTATTTCTTCCTCCTCCTTTTTCTTATAAGCTAGCCTGTAACGTTCGGTTATCTAAAGAAAAGAAAAGTCTGTTATTCAAAGAAAAAAAAAGAGCGCGCATTTACAGAACGCAAATGGTGTGTACAGTGGAGTGTTCGACTGTCAATGTTCGGTTGTCTTACGTTAGAGTCCTGCACTATACCCTCGTGGGCTATAACTTACGCCCACGAAAGTTCTCGTTTACTCTGCTGTCCAGATGTCACCATTAATGATTTATAACAATTATTTATTAAACCAAGCCCTGTTCATATTATTACTAAGTGTTAGTTAATGTGGGATAGAGAGGGAGAGAAAGTTCGAAGACGGCTTGATGACGAAAGCTATCTTATTTTTCTTTTCAGTCGATGTACTGATCCACCGTGCCCCTTTCTGGAAGCTCCCAGCACCCCACC